CAGAGGTGGATCACCTGAGGTCAGGAGTTTGAGACCAACCTGGCCAACATGGTGAAACCCCATCTCTACTAAAAATACAAAATTTAGCCCGGCGTCGGTGGTGGGTGCTTGTCATCCTAGCTACTTCAGGGGTGAGGGCAGGAGAATTGTTTGAACCCAGGAGGCGGAGGTTGCAGTGAGCTGAGATCGCACCACTGCACTCCAGCCTGGATAACAGAGTGAGACTCTGTCTCCAAAAAAAAAGTAGGAAAAAAATTAGATTTTACTAAGATGGCAGTAACCTAGACCTTTGAGTTTTGTCATTGTGGCTTTCATCCTCATGCTTATCTCATGATCCAAGATGGCTGCTGTAGCTTCAGCCATTTTTTTTTTTTTTTTTTTTTTTGAGATGGAGTCTCGCTCTGTCACCGAGGCTGGAGTAAATGGTGCGCCTGGCTAATTTTTGTATTTTCAGTAGAGACACGGTTTCACCATGTTGGCCAGGATGGTCTCGAACTGCTGACCTCAGGTGATCTACCCACGTCAGCCTCCCAAAGTGCTGGGATTACAGGCATGAGCTATCACGCCTGACATATATATATTCAGTAATGAATACATATAAGAACAATAAGAATCCTATGTCTTGACTATACAGTGATGAATATATATACATTATATATACACATATATATTCTATATATCCTCACATATATTGTATGCATTATCTAGAAACAAGAATCCTGTGTCTTGACTGCAGTGATGAATATATATATTCATAGATGTATTATTTTAATATATATTTATTATATATGAATATATATTCACTATAGTTAAGGCACAATATATTAATATATTATGTATTACATATTAATATATGATACATATATGAATATATATATATATTCATCACTGTACAGTTAAGATATAGGATTCTTATTGTTCCTCTAGTAGGAACCAGGGAAAAATTTCCCCCAAGTTATCCCCCTTAGATCCCTCAACTTTTTTTTTTTTTCCCCTATTCAGAATCTTGATTTAAAAGATAGTCTTAGATGTTTCTCAAGGAATCATTAACTCCACAGTTTTCTCCTTTTTCTTTGAGGGCTCCTGTTTCCACATGATGATTACTGTCATATAATAAAGTTTTCATGTTTCATGTTTTACATCTTCATAGGAAATTTATTTCAAAAATAATAGGAACAGACAATATTTAAATTTTTCTTTTTTTTTTTTTTAGGATAGCAAAGATGATGAGAGGGTTCCTGCTTTGAATTTATTAATCTGCTTGGTTAGCAGGTATAGTTAATCCTTGGCTTCTTTGTTATTTGTATATCAGTGAGGTCAGTGAGGGTAGGATGTATTTATTACATTTGTTTTTTGTTTGTTTGTTTTTATTGAGACCAGGTCTCCCTCTGTTGCTATAGTTAGGGTGCAGTGGCACAATCACAGCTCACTACAGCTTTAACTTCCTGGGCTCCAGCAATCCTCCCACCTCAGCCTCCTGAGTAGCTAGGACCACAATCAAGCACTACCACACCCAGCTAATTAAAAAAATTGTTTGTAGAGACAGGGTCTCACTATGTTGCCCAGGCTGGTCTCAAAACTCCTGGGCTCAAGCGATCTTCACACCTAAACCTCCCAAAGTGCTGGGATTACAGGCGTAAAGCCACTGCACTCAGCCTGCATTTTTTTTTTAATTGCCTGTGTCCTGTGTTCATTTTCAGTTGTGGCGTATTTTTATTTAGTATCTGTTTGATTTCATTTCTTACATAGAAATTCTTCTTGGAATTTATTTGAAAACTTTTTTTGTTGTTTTGTTTTGAGACAGAGTCTCGCTCTTTTGCCCAGCCTGGAGTGCAATGGCACCATCTCAGCTCACTACAACCTTCACCTCCCAGGTTCAAGCGATTCTCCCGCCTCAGCCCCCCAAGTAGCTGGGATTACAGGCACCCACCACCATGCCCGGTTAATTTTTGTATTTTTGTGGAGATGGGGTTTCACCATATTGGCCAGGCAATAAAACACACACATATTTATTTTAGGTCTCCTCCTGGACATATTTTTGTTCCATAGATCAGTGTTTTTATTCCAATGCCAGTACCTTTTTAAAGCTTTATAATATACTTAAATATCGGGAAGGCAAGTAATCTTGTTTCCATATTTTCACATATTCAATATCTAGTTTCTTTTTTTTTTTATTTTTTTTAAGACGGAGTCTCGCTCTGTCGCCCAGGCTGGAGTGCAGTGGCGCGATCTCGGCTCACTGCAAGCTCCGCCTCCCGGGTTCACGCCATTCTCCTGCCTCAGCCTCCTGAGTAGCTGGGACTACAGGTGCCTGCCACCGCGCCCGGCTAATTTTTTCTGTTTTTAGTAGAAACAGGGTTTCACCGTGGTCTCGATCTCCTGACCTTGTGATCCGCCCGCCTCGGCCTCCCAAAGTGCTGGGATTACAGGCGTGAGCCACCGCGCCCGGCCTAGTTTCTTGATCTACAATAATTATGCTGCTGATGATAATTAATATTTACTGGGCAATTTGTGCCAAGCATTTTTCTTATTGAGGAACCCATTTAATCCTCCTGAGGTGGGTACTGTTACCAGTTTACAGATGAGGAAACCATGGCAGAGACAGGTTAAATAACATTACTACCATCACAAAGCTAGCAAGTGTTAGAGTTAGGATCCAAACCCAGGCAACTTTGACTCCGGAGCTAAGCTTTTAACTATGCTGATCACAAATGAAGCTAATACCTGCCTCATCTGTTGGTAGCAGCAGTTAAATGGGATGATATAACATTGCCCTAGTTACTTTATGTGTAGTATCTCTACTCTTTACAACAGCTCAGAGTTGTGTTTTTTTGTTGTTTTTGTTTTAATAAATTTTTTCCTTTCAGCTCTGTTGGATTTGATTTTTTTGCTTTTACAGATAATGACACAGATTCAGAAAGGTTAAGTAATTGGTGGCTCAGCAAACCAGTAATTAATGAAACCTGAGACAAGTATAGTTTCTGACTGCCTCAATTGAGATTTTACAGTACTATGCAATTATGAAAGCAAAAACATTCAAGTGTATTTTTTGCCCTCAAAAAGTTAGATAAAAATGGAAAAAGTTCTAGACTACAAAAGGTTCTGAAGGTAACACTTTACAAAAGAGGACATAAAGATTTGAAAGTTTAGGAAAAAAAGGACCGGGCATGGTGGCTCATGCCTGTAATCCCACCACTTTGGGAGGCTGAGGCTGGTGGATCATCTGAGGTCAGGAGTTCAAGACTAGCCTGGCCAACATGGTGAAACCGTCTCTACTAAAAATAAAAAATTAGCCAGGCCTGGTGGTGCATGGCTATAATCCCAGCTACTCAAGATGCTGAGGCAGGAGAATCACTTGAACCTGGGAGGCAGAGGTTGCAGTGAGCTGAGATCATGCCATTGCACTCCAGCCTGGGCAACAAGAATGAAACTCCATCTCAAAAAAAATAAAAAAAAAAAAGAAAGAAAGCCGGGCACAGTGACTCACACTTGTAATCCCAGTGCTTTGGGAGGTCAAGGTGGGAGGACTGCTTGAGTCCGGGGGTTCAAGAATGCAGTGAGCCATGACAGAATTTGATTAGTGATTTTCCTTTTTATTTAATCTTGTAATTACATAAAATAGTTACCTTGCCAAAGTTAAAATTGTAATTCAGGGTACATTTGGAGTATTTTAGCATCCATCTTTATCCTCATTATCCTCTTTTCTTCTTTCTCCTCTAGTTAACCATTTTATGACTAATTTTTGTTTTATCTTTTCATTCATTGTTTCTTTTTAAAAGTATAAGTAGGCCAGGTGTGGTGGCTCATGCCTGTAATCCCAGCACTTCGAGAGACTGAGGCTGGAGAATTGTTTGAGCCCAGGAGTTCGAGACCAGTCTGGGCAGTGAGCCAGGATCATGCCACTGCAGTCCGGCCTGAGTGACAGAGTAAGACCTTGTCTCAAAAAAAAAAAAAAAAAAAAAGGGAAAGAAAAATATAAACAAACATGTATATTTGCAATCCTACACATACTCACATAAGGTAGGTAGCATCCAGAACAATCTGTTCTGTACTTCGTTTTTTTCACTTAATAAATCCTGGAAATCATACTTTAGCAGTATAAATATTTTCCTCATACTTTAGCAGTATATTTCCCTTGTTTCCCTTTTTATGGCTTCATAATTTTCCACTGTGTAAACATACCATAGCTTATTTAACCAGTCTCTTATTGATGGACGTTTGGGTTGCTTGTGGTCTTTGCCTGTTAAAAATAGTGCTACAGTTAATATCTTTATACACAAATTGTTTTTGGTTTTTTTTTACTAGGTATTTTGACCAACGTGATTTAGCTGATGAGCCATCTTGATGTAGCTGATCTCTCAGGGATAGAAGATATTTCTCATGAAGGCAGCCTAACTCTGAGGAAAGCAGTGCCAATTCAAGTACAGATTGCAACACATCTTCAACACTATGTGAAGGGTTCACATCTTAACCTATGCAATTCAGATTGATACTCAGAATATAGGTTGTATTGATTTGAATATCTGAAATATCAATGGAAAATCCCACTCAATTTTTGATAAGCAGTTTGAACAGTTTTCTGTAATCAAGCAGCTTGCATAGAAATTGTATGATGAAATTTTACATAGGTTCTTGGTGCTGTTTTGTTCTTTTTTTGTTTTTTGTTGTTTTGTTATTTCTTTATATACATAGAAAATTTTATTGAAAATATGTTTTGGTTACTAAAATTTTATTTGAGTCCTAACAAAAGACAATGGATGGCCTTAGCATCAGAATTAAAATAATCTGGATTAAATGGCAAATGTGTTCATAGTCAGCAATAAAATTAATCAAACAGTACTTTTTTTTTTTTTGAGACGGAGTCTCGCTCTGTCACCCAGGCTGGAGTGCAGTGGCAGGATCTCAGCTCCCTGCAACCTCTGCCTCCCAGGTTCAAGTGATTAGTGATTCTCCTGCCCCAGGCTCCTGAGTAGCTGAGTCTACGGGCACCCGCCACCACACCTGGCTAAGTTTTGTGTAGAAACAGGGTTTCACCATGTTGACCAGGCTGCTCTCAAACTCTTGACCTCAGGTGATCCGCCCGCCTCAGCCTCCCAAAGTGCTGGGATTATAGGCATGAGCCACCATGCCTGGCCTCAATACTTTTATTTTTAAATGCTTTATTGCACAAACAGAACTTTATCTAACAAATCATTTTCAAAAATAACAGGTCAACTGTTTTAATTTGTTTATATCACTTATAATTTATCTATTTCTGTATCAGGTAGGAATGTTTTCTGCTTTAAGTAACACAAAAGATCCAAGTGGCAATGGTTCTTCAAATAGGGGTTTATTTTTCTCAGATAACAAGAAGTCTAAAGGAGCTGGCCACTGGCATTGGTTTAGTGACTCAGTGATATCAAGGTCTCAGATTCCTTTAGCCTTTCCGTCATGGAAATAAGATGGCCATTGCAGTTCAAGCCAATGTGACTGCTGTATTCAAGACAAAAAGAAGGGGAAGCAGGGCCTTCCACATCTGATCTTTTTCTCATAAATGTAAAACCTTTTCTAGAAATTTAGATCAGACTTGTGTTCATCTACTAGCCGTAAATGTACAACATGATCACCCCTTGTTCCCAGGAAAGTGGGAAAATGAAATTGTAAGCCTTTCCAATCTCACTAATGGAAGGTGGGAAAGCAAAATGGGGATTGGGAATTACCATGGATGAGACAACCAACAGTTTTGCCACTAGTTATAATTAGAACAGAAGTCATTTTATATTTGAATCTTTTCTGTAATGTCTTCATAAAGCTCACTTTATTATTATTTTTGTTTGTTTTTGAGATGAGTCTCACTCTGTCACCCAGGCTGGAGTGCAGTGATGCAATCTCGGCTCACTGCAACCTCTGCCTCCTGGGTTCAAGTGATTCTCCCACCTCAGCCTCCTGAGTAGCTGGGACTACAGGCATGCACCACCACACCCAGCTAATTTTTTTGTGTTTTTAGTAGAGACAGGGTCTCACCATGTTGGTCAGGCTGGTCTCAGACTCCTGACCTCAAATGATCCGCCCACCTTTGCCTCCCAAAGTGTTGGGATTACAAGCATGAGCCACTGTGCCCGGCCCATAAAGCTCACTATAAAATTGCAGTCCTAAGTACTTAAAAATTTTCTCATTGTTGGATATCTAATTTTATTTTCAGTGCTAACCTAATATTAAAAAATACTACACTGATATCTTCATGTACGCAACTTTTTCTTTTTTCAAACTTTTTTTCTTTAATCAAAAGTTCCCAAAAGTAGACAAGCCATAAGAGTCTATCAGTTAATACTGCATTTGAAAACTTGGCTAAACTGAGGTTTCTAAAATTGTTTTTGTTTCTCATATAATTCTGGTGTGAGAAGTTCAGGATGGTGCAGCAGCTTTACAATGTCTTAAATATTCTGGGCTCCATCCAGATTTCTCTTTCATCATTTTAGTATGCAGTTTTCATCTTTTCAGTTATGAAGTATGGTTTCTTTATCTCTTGCCTCACATCTACACTCCAGGGAGGGAAATGGCACCACCCCTTCTTGTTGTTTGTATCTGGGGAGCACAGCATTTTAAGAAACCCTCAACTTAATATCTCATTGGCCAGAATTATGACATATGACCAGCCCTAATTATAAAGAATGCTGGAAGATGTACCTGGACACATTGCTACTCCTAACAAAAGTGGGGTTCTATTTTAAAAGGGGAGAGTAGATATTGGGTAGGCAGGCAGCAGTCTACTATAAAGGGTTTAGATTACCAACCTGTACCACAGCTAGCTGTGTTATAGCCTCACATTTTTTGCTGATATGATGCTTGGGGTGGGGTTTGGGGAGTGAGTTGGGGATTGCTTTAATAGAAGTTAAGTGTCAATTGTTTTAATTTACATTTCTTTCATAACGTGGCTGGGCATACACTTGGGCATTCTACTCATAGAGAATAAAATTACTGAGAACTAGATAACATTAAGAAAAAGGTGGCTGGGTGTGGTGGCTCACACCTGTAATCCCAGCACTTTGGGAGGCCAAGGCGGGTGGATCACGAGGTCAGGAGTTCAAGACCAGCCTGGCCAACATGGTGAAACCCTGTCTCTACTAAAAATACAGTTAGCTGGGCGTGGTGGTGCGTGCCTGTAATCCTAGCCATTCAGGAGGCTGAGGCAGGAGAATTGCTTGAACCTGGGAGGCAGGTTGCAGTGAGCCGAGATTGCGCCACTGTACTCCAGCCTGGATGACAGAGCAAGACTCTATCTCAGGAAAAAAAAAAAAAAAAAAAAGGCAATTTTGCATGTGCAATAGACAAGAGGTGTAAAAAATTTTGGCCGAGGGTGGTGGCTCATGCCTGTAATCCCAGCACTTTGGGAGGCCGGGGCGGATGGATCACCTGAGGTCAGAAGTTCAAGACTAGCTTGGACATTTCACAACATGGTGAAACCCCATTTCTACTAAAAATACAAAAAAATTAGCCAGGCATGGTGGCAGACGCCTGTAATCCCAGCTACTCAGAAGGCTGAGGCAGAATCACTTGAACCTGGGAGGCAGAGGTGGCGGTGAGCCAAGATCACACCACTGCACTCTAGCCTGGGCAACAGAGCAAGACTCTCATCTCAAAAAAAAAAAAAAATTAATCACACCTCTACTAGCAAGCTGGAGGATCTCTAATAGTTAACCAAGAAACCATTCTTATAATGACTTACCTTGCATAAAGCCATTTTTCAGGAGGGTAGAGACAAATAGAAATAAACATTTCATTTTATTCATTTGTTTATGTATTTATTTATGTATTTATTTATTTATTTTTGATATAGAGTCTTGCTCTGTTGCCCAGGCTGGAGGGCAATGGTGTGATCTCGGCTCACTGCAACCTCCGCCTCCTGAGTAACTGAGATTACAGGTGCTCATCACCATGCCTGGCTAAGTTTTATATTTTTAGTAGAGACAGGGTTTCACCATGTTGTTCAGTCTGGTCTTGAACTCCTGACCTCAGGTGATCCGCCCACCTCAGCCTCCTAAAGTGCTGGTATTATAAGCATGAGCCACTGTGCCTGGCCAGAGATGAACATTTTAAACCAGAGAAGCAGATATTTTAAACCAAAAGGTCTTAAGGTCTTTACCAGCTGCACCTGTTGACTTCCTGTAGCTTCAGGGCTATCCCTCTACGCCTACCCAGCTCCCAGCCTAGGGCACTGTATTAGTCCGTTTTCACACTGCTGATAAAGAAATACCCGGGACTGGGCAATTTACAAAAAAAAGAGGTTTAATTGGACTTACGGTTCCACGTGATCGGGGAAGTCTTACAATCAGGCAAAAGGCACTTCCTACACGGCAGCAGCAAGAGAGAATGAGGAAGGGCTGGGCATGGTGGTGCACACCTATAATCCCAGGTGTGAGCCTGGGATTTGGGAGGCCAAGGCGGGTGGATCACCTGTGGTCAGGAGTTCAAGACCAGCCTGACCAACATAGTGAAGCCTCTACAAAAAGTACAAAAAAATTAGCCATGCATGGTGGTGCATGCCTGTAATTCCAGCTACTCAGGAGGCTGAGGCAGGAGAATCGCTTGAACTTGGGAGGTGGAGGTTGTGGTGAGCCAAGATCGGGCCATTACACTGCAGCCTGGGTGAGGAGCAAAAATCTGTCTCAAAAAAAAAACAAAAAAAAAATGAAGAAGCAAAAGCAGAAACCCCTGATAAAGCCATCAGATCTCATGAGACTTAGTATCATGAGAATGGCACAGGAAAGAACAGCCTCCATGGTTCAGTTACCTCCCCCTGGGTCCCTCCCACAACACGTGGTAATAATGGGAAATACAGTTCAAGTTGAGATTTGGGTGAGGACACAGCCAAACCATATCATTCCACTCCCCTGGCCCCTCCAAATCTCATGTCCTCACATTTCAAAACCAATCATGTCTTCCCAACAGTTCCCCAAAGTATTAACTCATTTCAGCATTAACCTAAAAGTCCACACTCCAAAGTCTCATCTGAGACAAGGCAAGTCCCTTCCCTCTATGAGCCTGTAAAATCAAAAGCAAGTTAGTGACTTTTTAGATACAATGGGGGTACAGGCATTGGGTAAATACAGCCATTCCAAATGGGATAAATGGTCCAAAACAAAGGGGCTGTGGGCCCCATGCAAGTCCAAAATCCAGTGGGTCAGTCAAATCTTAAAATGATCCCCTTTCACTTCATGTCTCAAATCCAGATCACAGTGATGCCAAGAGCTGGGTTCCCATGGTCTTGGGCAGCTCCACCCCTGTGGCTTTGCAGGGTACAGCCTCCCTCCTGGCTGCTTTCACAGGCTGGGTTGAGTGTCTGTGGCTTTTCCAGGTACATGGTGCAATGGTAGGTGAATCTACCATTCTGGGGTCTGGAGGATGGTCACCCTCTTCTCATAGCTCCACCAGATGATACCCCAGTAGGGACGCTATGTGGGGGCTCCAACCCCACATTTCCCTTCCATACTACCCCAGCAGAGGTACTCCATGAGGGCCCCACGCCTACAGCAAACTTGTCTGGGTATCCAGACATTTCCATACATCTTCTGAAATCTTGGTGGAGGTTCCCAAACCTCAGTTCTTGACTTCTGTGCACCCGCAGGCTCAACACCACATGGAAAGTGCCAAGGTTTGGGGCTTCCACCTCTGAAGCCACAGCCTGAGCTATACATTGGCCCCTTTCAGCCACGGCTGGAGCGGCTTGCACAAAAGGACCAAGCCCCTAGGCTACACATAGCTCGGGGACCCTGGGCCTGGCCCACAAAACCACTTTTTCCTCCTGGACCTCTGGGTCTGTGAT